CTTTTAGGTGTCCTCAGAAACACCCTCCACTGCTGGCCCCCTCAGCCAGGGATACAACATCCAGTCCCAGGTGCAGGGAGCGCTGACCAAACTCAGCGGCTTTTCAATATCAGCTCCTGCTTCAGCAGAAGAGAAGTGTCTGATGAAAATGCAGTCCTTATGATGTATTTATGGTGTGTTGCCAAAGGGAAAAAAGCCTGAGTAAAAGCAAGGGATTGTTTTTTTCATTTTTTTTTGGACAAAAATGTTTTGAGGCAAATTTGTGGAACAGTTTCACACAAGAAAGCTGGTCAAAACTTGAAAAAGAAAACAAAGTAATTTAGTCCTTCTTTTTTTTCCAGTCCAAAATACCCCATTTTTAAATGTGTCCATGATATTTTAATTATTTTTTTCTGGATCAAACAAACCAAAAGTGCTTCAGCTTAAGGCTGAGCAAGAAAGCTTGGATTAGCCCCAAATGATGGTGTTTTGTTGTTCAGTATTTCATTTTCCTGAGGCCAGCAGCACAATCATTTGGCATCAATCAAAAAAAAAAAATGCTTTCAATTCTTTGCTCATTTGTGGTCTGATAGATCCTCCCTGCTTCCCTACCAGTTGGGTCTGTCATACTGTGGCAGACCTCCACATTTTTAGGGTTTGTGCCTTCAAGGCTACAACTGCTCTAGAATTAGAGAAGCCAGCCTTTCCAAATGCCTGAGGCACTCCTTCCCTGTCCTGTCTGATTCCAACACCCAATTTGTTCTGACCATGGTTCCCTGTGCCCCCTCATCCAGCATGGAGGAGTCTCACCCCCAACACAACAAGATTAGTTCAATTTCTACTGCTGCAGGGTGTAGTAACTTTAAAAAGAAAAAAAAAACACTTCTGAGAAGTAATTTATTCCATTGTTATTTGGAATAGTAGTTGTAAAAATAACAATGATGAAAACAAATATTAATATTTGTTATTAATATTTGGGCCAGTGCTAGGGGCAGGCAAAATCACTGCAACTGCTGGGAGCATAAAGACAGCTCTGACCCAGCTGCTTTCTGTCCTGGTTAGCAGATGCCTCCTTTGCCTGTGGAAAAGCCCTGGAAAGCACATGCTTCTGCTTCAGAGAGAAAGAGAAAAGGCTGGGGGGCACCAGTGGCTGCCAGAAGTAGGATCCCTCTCACTCCTCTTACCTTAGGGAGGCCAGAAATTGTTGTGGCTACTTGGACATGAAGCCTTGAGCTGCTTCCCCTTATGCAGTGTTTTGCATCCAGGAGTTTTATAAACTCCCATGATAATTCCTAAATCTGAGAACAACAAAACAGAGCACACCTCAGGCTTATGTCTCAGAGCACTTTGCAAATATGTTGGGTTTTTTTAATAATTCCCTTTAACATAGGAAGTGAGGTAAAGGAAGGGTTATTTGGCTGACCCAAATGAATCTGCCAGGCCAGTGGCAAAGCTGACTGCAACATTAGTCTTCATTTACAGAGCCATGAGAGAATCCATAACTCAGTAGCAGTGTACATTTTCCCATCCTCTAGATAAGATACAGGGTAGTCCATCAAAGTGTTTCTTTATTTGTACAGCAAACTGGAGGTATTACTTATTTTGGGGTGTTACTTACTTTTGGATGTTGTTTTCAGGGGGAGGGGGAGTGGCAAAGGGGAAGAATTCATTTATAATGCATCATCCAAATACTAATATTATCAGAGCAGAGGTAACTGGTCAACACTCAACCACCTCAGTGTGCAACCTAAAGCAGGAGTAAAGACCATTGTTGTGTTACGTGGTGGGGCAGAAGGGGAAGGGAGCTGTGCAATGAAGTGCAGTGTGTGATGTATAAGGGTTTTTCTTTTTTGTCCTTCCCCCCCAACACAATAAAATCTCCAGAGATGTCAGACACGGGCAGGGCAAACAGCTGATCTCTGTTTGCATTTTGGACGTGCCTCTCAGTGGGTGGGTTTTCCAAAATGTGTCTATAATTGCAAAGGAACACAAGTGCAGAAAGCTCCTGGGAGCTCAGCTAAACCACTTCCCTCAGCTGGGTTGACTTAACAAGATCAAATACATGTGAACAGGATGAGAAGTCACAGGTTTAAACTGCTGCTCAGGAAATTCAGGTTAAACGTTAAGAAAAACTTTCTAACAGTGAGAACAGTTGAATATTAATAGAAATTGCCGTGGGAGGTTGTGTACCTAGTGCCACTGGAGGCTGCTAAGAACAGGTTAGAAAAACATCTGTCAGGAATGATGTAGGCAGAGTTGGTCCTCACTTGGGGAAGAAGTATGAATTAATTGTACCCCCAAGTTCCCTTTCAGCCCAATTTTCTCTCCTTCTGCAAAGTTGCATAGTAGTGGTTGACAGATAAATTATAATATTACAATTTATTTTTCTTTTCTAAAGTATATATTTTGAGTTCTCTCTCCAGTGTAGTATGAATACAGGTTTCAGTCAGGAAAGGTCCATAAGCAAATAAATCTCAGAATTATTAAACCGGCAAGCAAGACCAACACCATTTTTTTTAAGGGAATGACTTTTCAGCAGGGAAAAAATAAAGCCTCAAAGAAGGTGTATCAACCTGGGGATAATCACTGCTATATTAAGAAAATAAATCTAGAGTGTATCAAAAGTTCATATCTTTGGGGAGAAAAGAGAGGTAAAGAAGAGAAAGAAAAGCACAGATATCATTAGAACAAAACCCTAGAAGAGGAAAAAGCCCTAAACAAATTAAATTATACATCTAACAAGCACAAACAGACATCTACTTTCAAAAGAAATTTAACCCAATTCTTCAAAGAAACAAAACCCAGCAGTAATTAGTAAGCGCTTTTATCTCTTCTGGATTAGAGTATCCAATAAAGCTGAATTCCTAGAGGTGATGTTCCTCCTCCCCAAAATATGAATCATTAGAAGATGTTGTGCAAGGCTTTTGCTGCTTCAGCCCAATAGGACGCCACTGAAGTCGAGCAGCTTGGGCTGTGCTTATTCTGCATATCAAAAAATCAGTTGTGGCCAGACCCCGAATGCAAAGACGAGAAAAAGAAACTTGGGGAAACTGGGACTCCTCCTTTGATGTTCTGTGAGTTAGGAATCAGGCCTTAAAATCCTGCTAATCTCCAGGGTTTTGACACAATACTAAAGTTTTGTAACTTCTTCAGGAGAGTGAAGTGGGAGTGTAATGTAGGAAGGAAATATGGTAAGAAATAAAATTCCTTCTTCTTTGCTTGGGTGCATGTGCCCTGGCCACAGAAAGTGAAAACAGTTCCTTGCTTATAAACTGAACATCGTGCTATGGCCAAGACAGGTAAAACTCTGTGGAAGCAGAGTGCAGACCTGTATTTCAGATCACTTGAAAATGCAACTTCAGAACTCTCAGTCAGAGAAGGATGTAGATCCCTGCCATAACTCCAAGGCCTTGGGAAAGCTCTTATTTACTTTTTGTGGAAGTTTCATGCCAGGACTAAGTGACTTCTGCTTGTCAATCAGTAGCTCTTTTTTTGACATGAATAAATACACCATAAAACCCTGACAGAAAACTTGTCATGTCTCACCCATGTGTGCTCACGCAACAAGTATTTCAATGTGTATTTGACTTTTCTTTATGCCTCTGAAGTTTCCAGTGCATCCCCTGATCCTGTAAGTGAAATGGGAGGCTGGTGGTCCAGGAGGGATTTGCCCCCATGTGTGACCATGGTTTTGCTGTGAAGTGATGGGCAGTGAGGGTGGGAAAACCCAGCTCAGGCAAAGCTGGTGCTGTCTGCTGTCCTTCCAAAAAGGAACAGAAAAGTGAATCATCATAGAAATATAGGTCAGGGTAGAAAAATACAACTCAGGAATGTTTTCAAACTGCTTTGGAAAAAATGAAGGTCAATTCCTGTGCTGCTGCCTTTTGACTTTTCAGTCAAGAAACATAGTCCTGGTAGCCCAAAATCTGCACACTGAGCTGAGTGGATGATAAGCACCCAGATAAAGTGTGGCAGAGTTTGCCAGATATTTTCTCCAGCCAATTCCTTCAGCCCAAACATGCTCATCACTCTTCTGTGGATTTAGACATTTCCCAGTGGGTAGCCTCTTTTCCTTTTGTTCCCATGCTTCAAGAGACAAAGTTAATCTGTCTCAGCAGAGGTGCCCAGGCCCTGGGCTGTCAGCAGGGTTCATATCAGTGCAATTAATCATCTGGTAGTTGCTGTTCTTTCATTTCCTTTTGCTAACTTGTGTTCCCAGCTGTCCTCCCCTGCTTTGAGGCAGAGATCTCTCTGACTGACCTGTATGGGCAGCAGTAAGAGGCAGCTTCAGGCTGTGCATGGGAAGGGAGAGCTGCTGTGCCAGTCCTGTGGTGGCTTTAGCTGTGCCTGAGATGTGGGGCAGCTCCAGCCATCACCAGCTTCTCACCAGTGCATCAGTTCCTGCAGTCTTGGAGCCTCTGCAGCCCAGGACCTCCCCAGGAGTGGGATGCCATTTCAGAACTGAAAACTTGTCCCTTGCCCAAACTTCAGACATGTACCCTTTGCTGCTATGCCTGTTGCAGCTTCCCATGCCACAAAGCTGGGTAGTTCCTGTAAAGCCAAAGAATTTCCAGCTTTTTTCCTTACATTAATACATCACAGATAACTTAGGGTTTGGGTTTTTTTTCCAGACACATATCTAAGTAAGAAGACATGTTTCTTTCATTCTCCACAGTTATCACACAGAAGACATACCATTATTCTGTGATCCTTCTAAAAATCTTTCTTTTTTTTTTCTGTATTTCTATTTCTAATATATTTTCCTTTATTATTGAGATAAATTCCTGAGATTAAATGAGCTGAGGTTGTGTTGGATAAGCTTATTATTCTTATTAATACTGAGATAAGTTTCTGTAATTAATAACAGGTGTAATTATTAGTAATATTGTCATTTACTGTTTATATACTGTTGTGTGTGCACAATTCTTTCCAAACAGGTAAAAATTATTGCTGTTATTTTATTGCAACCACCATTGGTCTGCCAACACTGCTCCTTTCTCTCATTCTCTGTCTCTTTTCAGGAGGTTTGACCACATCAAGCAGTGCCTTAGGTGACAGAAACCTGAGGAAAGGTGGGATGTGGATGTCCTGATGACAACCTGAGCAGCAACACGGGAAGCAGAAGTAAAAACATGAAACTAATGCTCTCTCTGTATCCTAGGTAAGTCTCTAAAGGGAGGCAGAGGAACCCATATACATAAAAGTGATGTTCTTCACTATTACAGAGTGGTGAGCCATTATGAGGGTTCATTCTGTGCCCTGGGTTCTCTATGGAGGCAGTCAGGACAGCCACAGCACTTGGTCCTGCAATTACAGTGTCTGGTATGGAGTGGGTGTCTCAAGTGCCTGGGATTTTTTAATAATTTATTTCTATTTCTACTTTATTTAAGCATTGTGGTATCTCTCTGATACATTTATCGATCAAAGTGGCACTACTTTTGCAACAAGAAAATCAGATCTCATTTAACTTTGTCTGAAAAGTAGAACTGGTAAATCAAAAATGTGTGCAGAGTAAAGGCCATGAAGGTGAAGACAGAGTGCTGAGGTTTAGTGGTAGGATGTGTCTGTCTGTTGTAGCTACTTTAACTGTGCTTCCAAATTAAAAAGGAGAGATCCTAAAAATAGATTGCTAAAAGCCTTTTCTTATTCCTAGGCCAACTCCAGAGAGGCATATTCAAATCCAGCCAAAGGGAGTGTCACATTTCTGAATTGTACCAGGAGCTCCCTTGCTCTGAGTCCAAAACTGATCTCAGAAGCTCAGACCAAGCTGGGCTAAGCCTTCCCAAGCCCAGTATTCCTGTGACCCCAGCTGAAGTCCTGGCGAGCGGTCAGCTCCCTGAGCAGTGAGATGCAGAGCAGTCGGATCAGGTGCTGCCTCTCTTTGCCACATTCCCACGCTTGTTCTGTCATCTGCAGAAGGCAGCATTCCCACTATGCTGCAGCAGAGATACTGCTCGGTGGCTGCTGTTGCTGATCTCCCCTAATTACCAGAAACATTGCTTTAAGAAGTTACAACTTCCTGGCATGATGTGAAAAACGAACCGTTTAAGAGTTGAGTAATAGGTAATTGCAGGCTGCAGCATCTTTAATCACTTTCAATTTTAAGTACATTTTTGAAGAGCGTGGCTCATTATTACCTGGCAGATCTTGATGGAGTTCTACATTTCTGGTAGCCTAGATCACAAATGAAAAAAAGAATTTTGCATACGGGGTGTAATGGTTGGCAATTACAGCACAGCTTAACTCCCTGCTCTGCTGTGGGCTTTCCTGTGACTGTGGAAAAGTCATGGAGACATTTGTGTGGAAGGACTATAGTGCTGCAGAGCCTACCATTTTAGATCACCTGAACTCCAGGTCCTGTGAAATCTGATCCATAAGGCATATAAATTTATTATAAGAAAAAGAGTGACCCATGAGAGGCTGTGTGTAGACACAGAATTTTAGACATTAGCCAGCAGAAAAGGCTGTGCATCAGCTTCATGACTGCTCAGAGAAAGGTGCTGAACTTCTGAGACCTCCAGCCAAGAGCCTACTAAGTCCAGTTAGTTTAGATCTGCACTTCTTGCAGTACAAATCCTACGTATAAAATGAAGATAAATCTTCTCATGGAAATGCACTGATAGCAGGAGCTCAGCTTTAGCTTTCAAGCAGTGTATATGCACACATTTAATAGAGAAGGAGAAAAATGGACATATTCTTTTCAGTTACTATCCCCACAGCATGTTCTGGCTCTTCTCCCATCCTCTGGCTGCTCTTCCTCACCCAGCACAATCATTGACCAGCATGTTTTCAGCCCAGGCGATACTTTTGCCTGATACTTTGAAAGCAAAGAAACGACACCACCTGGCTGGAGATGAAGCCTGGCTCCAGACAAGGCAGATGTCACTGCCCTTCATTCCATTTTCCTGAGAGTGGTGTCTTGAGCAGCAGGACACACACAGTCCTGGGTGCTGCCCTCCAAATGGCCTAAAATAATTGTTATAATCCCCTGTTGACTTTGTTACTGTTCATCTGCAAATGCCCTAAATTTGTTACCAGCATGTTGATGGAAGCTGTTTTCCTCCCACTTTGTATTGCCAATTACATTTCTTGCCAGCAAATGGAGTCCTCTTCCCACTCCTCTTGTGGCAGGGGAAGGATTGATCCTCTGCCCGTAGCAGTGCACAGGGATGTGCATCTGACCACCCATATCCTATGTGTCCAGGCATTATATACTGCAGTGACCTTTGGGGGAGCAAAGGGAGGGACAGCAGTCCAAGGATTGGACAAATTACATGTTTTAAAATAGAATTTATATGCTGGAGTAGGGAAGGAAAGTATTTAAAGGACTCCCCGCACCATCAGAAACCTGGCCACATATATGATTGGCACTTGCACTGCTAATGAGACCATTTCTATTATAATGAGCTCATTACTATTTTTATTGCTATTGTATTTTGCATGTTTCACAAATCGTGCAGGGAGCTGCTTTTTGTTTCCACTTTCTCTTTCTACCTTGGAAACTCTCAGGGCAATCCCAGTGGCTGCATAACACAGATGAATGAATTAAACCCGTGGAGAGACCGAGCGGGGGTGGCTGCTCTTAACTGGTCATGGAGGGAGAGGGAGAGAAAGGAGAGGATTGGAGTCATGGCTGGAAACTAATTCAGCAAGGAGTTATCACACTGTTCTGAAACCCAGTGACATTTTTATGAATGTATCTCCTATTCAGGAATGTCTGCACAAAATTAGTCTGCTCCTGAGAGAATACTTGGTATATAGATTATTCTCTTTGTCAACTGTTTCTTCCAAATATTGATTGGGATCAGGCTTTGTTTCTCTGCCATTTTGCAGTATTTTGCTTTAATAAATTTTGAGTATGATAACACAAAGAAGTGTTGGCTTTGCAGCAGTGTTCAAGTTTCCAGTGTTGCTCAACTAGTCTGATTCATGTCCCTTGAGATCCTCCTTTCCTTTTTTGAGTTCCAAACACATGTGCAGTAGGACAGACCCCAGAGACAGCTTTTGCTGGCTGCCAGTGATCCCACTGGCTTGGTTTGCTTTGGCTTCAGCTCCTTACCATTACCAATTCCAGTTGGCTTCTCAGTAGCCACTTCCTCAGCTTTAGCTCTCAGTGAATAGCCAACACCCTGCAAATAATCCACTGCTGACTTTCAGGCTACTTGGCTTCACCAGTGCAGCATGAGGTGCAACTCAGAGAGGCGACTAAAAGGGGCAGATCCACCGCTACCCTATGGAAGCTTTCAGAAACTTCTGGAGTGAAAATGAGTCATCTCTGCAAATCACCTGCTGGAAAATCATATTGCTGTATCATATGGTTGCCACTAACAGGTGTAATCACAGGAGATTCTGATGGAGCGGAGAAGACATTAGGATGCATAGTTATGGAGCTGGTTGAGACTTGCTCTGAACTCTCGCTAAATGCTGTAATTCCATGGATTTGACTTAGAGAGGACAGACCTGTGGATCTGAATCACCTTGGATGTTACTGATTGTAGGACCAGCATGGTTTAACCTCACCAGGCAGGTGAGATGTACCCAGTATGGAAATGGCTATTTGCCAGAGTGCATTCTTCACCTTTGCCATTGGCCAGTAGTGAGGAAGTCGACTGTGACTGGATCTGACTTCAGAAAAGGATTTTTCTGTGCATGAAACCCCTAGACCAAATATTTTCTTTGCCTATACAATTCAGACATATTTTGCAGTCATGTGTGCAGTCCAAGAATTGCCTAAGAAAATTAAATGTCACCAAAGAACACTAATGTAAAAAAAAAAGTGTGGGAGTACATCTGCTTGCTGTTGGAGCTACCAAGCTGCATTTTGAATTTCAGGTTTGTTATTTTGTTAGTTTGATGTTGTAGCTCTCTGACAAGCTCCTTCTGTCTCACTCATTTCCTCTGTGTCCTCTGGCTGCTGAGACATCATCACTCTTTCAAGCCCAGGGTTAGGGCTGGCCTGTTTTTAATACTCTGAAGACTTTGGTGGCATCTGGCAGTAGTACTGCCAGCTGTTGCAGAGAAGATAAAGAAGAAAGGAAAGAAAGACATCAACATTAAAAAAAAATAATAAAACCAGGCGACTGGGTGTGTTCAAAGTCTCAGTTTCACAAATTTATATTGAAGAAAAATTTGGATAAAGAACTTCTGTGCCTTTCAAATGAACCTTCTCCTACCTTGCTTGAATAGCTCACCAAGGGCAGACAAGATAGAAATAATAAATATATAGAGAGACAGAAAACATGCTGCACCTCCTTCAGGAATTCAGGAATTACTTAAGTGAAACTAAAACCTGTTTTCCCCAGCATCTTAGAAATGTCTCTGTGTTATTGTTCTTTTTTGAGCTTTGTGCTGCACTGATATTTTATGTTTAATAACATGTGGAGTGAAATAGGAGAATTAACAAGAATTTTGCTTCTGGCAAGATTATCTACAATATCTGCTTTTGGCTGGATGTAACAAGTGTCTTTTCTGCAGGTGTCTGTGGGTGCTTTGGGGTTTGAGACAAACTGCTGTGGGATTTGAGATCCTGCTGCAGAAACCAGCAGGAGTCAGCTGAGACTGGTTCCTTCCTTAGGAAAGGAGGGAAAGGAAAGAGAGAGAAGTAAACTGTCACCCTTTTAAATTGGTCCCATACAATCATAATCCCAAGGGAATTCTCTAAAAACTAATGCAAATTGTCATCCATCAGTCTTTCCCCCATGGAGCTGCTACAGGCTTCAAAAAGGAGCCTTTTCCCTTTTCAGCTCCTCTCAAATTCCACCTTTTTTTCCCTGATTCTGATACCTCTTGGCGGGTTCCCATCAGCTCCTTAGTCCCTTGCCAGTGCTGGATACCAAGGTCACTATACAATATTCATACAAATTGTCTCTCTCTACAGGTTCATAATAGCTATAATACAGAAAACGCAAAAAGAAGCTTATCCAGGCTGGTTTGGCTTTTTGCTTGGTTTTTTTGGTGGTTTTGTTGTTGTTGTTGTTGGTTTTTTTTTAAGAATCTGCAAGTTTTTACTTGTGACTGCTATAGTGAAAACCTCAGTGTGTGATCCCAGAATCCGGAAGGATGGGATAAAAATGTGAAGTACATCTTTTGCAAACCACAACAGGGTTTTGGCAAGTGAAGTGTCAAAGCAGGAGCCTAGAATGGAAAAAATCCCACATTAGT